AAAACGTTTCCATACTCAATTTTTTGCTACAATGCTGCATGAATTTATATGTGTTTAACCAAATTTAACGAATGCCCCATACAGCAAAGTTCTATTCCGCTACATCCGTGAAATATCATCACAGGCAGATGTACGCTGCGTAACATGTAGGCTGTATCTGCAATATTGCCAGCGAACTTTTTATTTTTATCCAAAACAATATACAGTATGAAAGGCATAGGCACGTTAAAAGAATGCACTCATACTGGACACTTTGGTGGCTCCACATGATACAGCTACGATTTCGTAGCATTTATCTTCTCCTTCAATCTAACTGCTTTCTTCAATTGCTATCTCATCCAATGATTTAGACTGTGCTTCACTCTGTCATGTGACCACACCTGTTTTGTCGGCTTCACTCTCGACCTGCAACAAGAAAGGGAACTTAATGTGTCCAAACTCTAAAATAGAATTTTATAGCGAATACGCGTTGAGCCGAATCCTGAATTTGAAATTCCGGCCCGGAACTAGACTTTAGACTTGAATAAAAATGACAATGTACAACACCAAATGTTATAGTTCACCAAAATTACCTGCACCTAAACATATAGCACTAGCAGCACATCATTCAGAGTGTTTACATGTCATGCTTAAAGGGTCTAATTACAAGATGGTTGTTAGGTAATATGAGTCAGCTGTTTCCAGTGTAAGACAGTATTTCCGTCACGACAATATAGGTTGACTAAGACCAGACGAAATGTTACATGGATATTCTAATCCTAGCACACAACCAACTAGGGACAGAGGGCACTCACGGAGGGGCATACCTCGCCAGCGACATAGCTGTAGCAGACCGCCTCGTGCTGCTGCCTCGGCGTCACATGTACACGCTCGACTCGACGCCGCTAATATCCGATCGCGCCAACACACTAACACGTTGACTGGCCTCTGCTGTGGCTACACGATATGCACAAGACCAATCACCACAAACATTTATGGATAGTATAATATACTATCATATTTTATGTTGCAGTGTGCAGCGGCAGTCAGCGTTTGGTTGGCAGATGAGCATATTGGCCATGGCCATTTACAGGAAATTGTCGAACAATAATATGTTGAAGAGAGTATTAGAAACATTTAAGACTTTGGTAAGTAAATAGATACGAGTGATTTATTTCCCGGCAAGCGGACAACTTAAGCCAAGAAATCAAACTAGTTCTCTGCAAAAGGCAGACATATGCTGCCAAACTCCCATTGCCGGATAAACAGCGCCATTTATTATCTTGCCGAAGCCGCCATGCTACCACAATGGCAAACTGTCACAGTGCTAAGTTCTCTCTGCCAGGTGCCTAATACAGCGGCGGCGGAACTCTCTCGCGTTGGCCTTAAGAGAATTTAACTATTGATTTTCAGCACTGCTTCTACAGGCAAAGCCACAGAAGCGGCTTAGTGCTCAAAACGTTTCACTTTGTTTTTCTCCGGCGCCGGACGATCTAACAAGAAAATTTGTTCTAAATTCTCGGCGGCCGGAAACTAACGAATAGGTCTTTCATCCGACTGCTTTCCGAAGCTGCGCGTCGAGAAATAATACAGCCCAAATAGATATCGTATTTATTTAGCATTATAATTTTATATTTTATAGAAAATTAGGAAACACTGCAACTCAACTTCAAAGTTCAAGTTGAGAGTGGCAGCCACTATGGCTTATGGTACTATGCTAGGCATGGCCTATGCTATGCTATGCTAGGGCTATAGCTAGGCTATGCTAGGCTCTATTGGCCTGCTCTAGAGTTGGCAGGCCATAAGTCGATGCCTGTCTCTATGGGCTAGGCCTCGATGGGCCTGTCTCTATGTAGGCGCAGGTGAGAATGAAAAATCCGGTTACGTCCACCGCCGCATCGCCCGCTTGTAGTCCCCGCCCAAAAAAGTTCATTATTTATTTACCAAAAAATTTCTTAATTTGCGAAAAAATTCCCTCACTGAACATAATACTAATAGACTAATCACAAGGGTACTTAGTCCTAAACAGCAATTCTGATGCGATTTTGACAAGCTTGGCGCGCCAGTCCGTTGTACATGCCACTGTTTCTAACCGCCTAGACATATATCAGGGCGCAAGCGAATAAATGATTTTGTCGAAAAAACCGAAAGATTGACGACTTCAAAACCGAAAATCCCGAACGTGAAAAATGAAAAAATTTTCAGCCTGAAAAATAAATAATGAATAATAAAGAGGGCGGCTAGATTGTTATTCGTCTGTACTGTATTTTCACTGTATTTCAGCCTGACAAAATTAACATAATGAATTAATGAATAATGAAAAAAGCCTCATCACTTTTTAAATTCTTGGACGGTAAACCGATTCTTTCATTCTCATGGCCTAACAGGCCTCGACCGCACGGCTATGTTGACAGCCTCGATGCCTGCTCTTGTAGGGTCTAGCCGCCTCTTCTATTGCTCCTCTAGGCCTTATGTAAGGCCTAGGCTGATGCCTAAGGCTCTAGCTATCCTACGCCTCTATGCCCCTAGCGCTCATGCCATGCTAGCTATGCTATGCTATAGGGTACTATGCTAAGCTATGGTACGTAACCACCTATGCTTTCGAGCTACCAAGTGCCAGTGGCGAGTGGCTTAAAAATTCGTCTTCGAAATCGACACGCCAAGCATAGAAAATCACGCCCTCGAATTTTTCAAAACATGCTACAATACAAGAATGGTGGGGAAGTTAGCTAATATCGCTTTACAGACATGATTTTAAATACATAGACGATTATTAACCAGCCTACATTTACAGCTAATCCATTACATCATTTCAACAAGACCTCTTAAATCTTCGCCATCTTGCTGCCCTCCCTAGGATCTCCTTGAAAAAGTTCCTACAGCGTTAAATAGTAACAAAAAATGACACATTTTTATTAATATTAACAAAACAATTTATATGCGAAAATAATTTTAACTATAATATTTGAACTAATAACATTTTCTAGATATATTTACAGAGAATAATAAACAGTAAATTTCAAGAAACAATGAGCCACGCAGCAGTAAAGTATATAGAGATCAATGGCGAGCGTGTTTCAAACGTGCGAAACAGCAAAACTTATTACGTTCTGTTGTCAACACATGTGCAGGAGTTTAAAACGTAAAAATTTGACATGAATTTGATAGTACATAGTAGTAGTAGTATTACTATTAGTACCGCGTATTTAATTGGAAAATTGTATGTTGTTTTCTAATGACGGCACAGCGTTGCATTGACACGGCCACGTCGCGGTCAAGGATAGAGAACATGGTCCCAATAAAACCAATGTCATTTACATCAATATAAATATAATATTTATATCAATATAATAGGTTAGGGTTATGGTTAGAGGTTAGGATTAAAGTTAGGCCGTTAGGGTTTAGGCATATGTGTTTTATTGGGACCGCATGTTCTCTTATCCATTTCCTTGGGCCGCCGGCGTGATTTTTTTCCTAGGTCAATCAAGAACATAGGGCCTGTAGTGAGCGCCTGCTATTGGTTGGGCTTGTTTCGTCGCTCAATGACGTCACAGTATGCCATATACATAGCACATTCAAAATCAAGTTCATATGTATTATGTCCCAATGGGAGTAGCCGATTAGAGACGCCAGCGTCAGTATGAAAGGTCGGTGGATCGAATCCCATCCGTTTTCTAATGATTTTCCTGTTTTTCTGTATTTTCTATCTTTATCTGTTTAACCATTTTTTTCCAATTAACGCATGATTTATTTAAAACATTTTAATAACAACAATTAATTTGTACAACAATTAACAATTAAATTTGTTATATATATATTTTTAAATAGGATTTGGGTTAGAGTTAGAGTTACGGTTGGGTTAGGGTTAGGGTCACAATGCAGTGAATGCCCACCATAAAACAGGAGTTTGAGGCACGCTGATTTGTATCAACCAATGGCAGCGTCCCGCTAGAGCCCTATGTTTCTTGATTGACCTAGGAAAAAAATACACGCCGCGCCGGCGGCAGCGTATATGGTTGCACATAAGATTTGGACAAAATTATAGGAGAAACTGTTGGCAATAATAGGTGAAGAGAGTATAGAAACATTAAGAATTTGGTAGTAAATAGATTTCGTATTTAGTTAGCATTATATTTTATTGAACGCCTTCAAGTGCCTGTGCCTGGGATGTGTGCTGTGTGCCTGTGCCTCTTTCACCTATTATTGCCGACAGTTTCTATAAATTTTGTCCAAATCTACGTGCAACCATATACGCTGCCGCCGGCCATTGCTCTCGCGGCGTTCACTGTTTGCACGCTTACACTATATGTAATATATATAACAGCGTGACGAAACTAGCGTCGCCCAGTCGCCTGTGGCGATTAGAAAATCTACCGGGCGACTGCTTGCTTGTGTCAGCTGCGTCCGTGACGCGACTAGATAATCGCCGCACAGCAGCGAAAAAATTACAGACTTGTAAACGGGAGCGCCATAATACGACCGCTTCCTCAACGTAGACGGGGTAATCCAAACCTTCTAGAGCTGCCATGAACTCCCTCAACACATAATTCGCCACACGAACAAATCCCGCCCGACCGGTCTAAGAAATCGATGGCGGCCGGCATGTAGTTTTTACAATAAGTTTGTATATCGCAGGTGTTATCGTGGGGAGTGAGGCACGACCAGTGACACTGACACGCACGTAATCAAGCTGTTAACTGAATTCGCACTTTTCATGTGGACTATTGAAAGTGGAATGTGGAAAGTGGACTATTTTATTCAGCTTTAGATATCGAAAGCAATGTAAACTCTATATATATTAAAGATGCTAGCATCTTGTAGCTTTGCAAGATATCCGGCAGCATTGATCTATGCATGGGTGTAAAGTGGACTGGGAGGAGAAAAACGAAAGTAAAACCTTACCAGAAGCTCCCTGACATCCTAGATTCCAGTACACGTTTTTTAACATACTCAAGAGTAACTAAAAACTATGTGCTACTGTGAGTGATGTCTGTAGTGAATTAAATTGAATAAGAATGCGATTGGTTTCTTAGTCAGAGCTGAAATGGAGATTTAAAAAAATGTGATGAATGTAATTGTAGACGATTTCTTATTAACACTGATAGTCTGATACTGGTGCTGAGTGCCTGAATGCTGATGAATGATATTAGAGTCAATGCATCAAATTATGAAAATTTTAACAAAATCCATGGTATGCAAAAGCTAGCTCTGGCCAGCCTAAAAAATAGCTCCGCCTAAAAAAAATTACGAGAGCTCTTTTTTCATACAATATCAAAAAAGAAGCTCTCGTAAAAAAATTGTGTAGAATTTTTAGGCTGCGACACTACGAGAATAAAAAATTTACCAAATGCATTTTTTGTTATTCTCTACTAACCTTCTACATTATTCATAATGAAATAATGGGTAATTTAATCAAATATAGACTAAAAATAGTCAAATTCAAAGCCTAAAGTCCATGCCGAAGTTACACAAAAGTACACAAACTCTCCATGTGTTCGATTTTCTAGGTCATGCATGCTGTTAAACCTCTGCTAATTCGATAATACTGGGCATCCCCGACCAATCAGCAATCGCGTAATAAAATATGATAATTTATAGGAATAATGGGCGGTCTTCAGAGACCGCTGATCTTTGAAATCGACTTGAGGACTTGTTCCGATTTGCTACGCATCAGTGTTACTGTATCAAAACGAGTAAAAAATATAATTTTTAAGAATACCTTAGAATGCACAGTGACATCACCAAATTGCACCATCCCCCCATATAAAAAGGTCCCCACATCCGAGTCATTCACTTTGCTACGACAAAAATCCTGGACCAGTGCCTACTGACCAAGACCAGTGCTTCCTCAGAGGCACTGGTCCTGCAGGACCAGTACCTTCAATTATCAGTTTTTCACCCTGTATATAATATAGTAATACTAGTAATAGTAATATATATATATATAAGACAGTGTAAGCGTGCAACAGTGCACGCCACAAGAGAAATGGCCGGCGGCAGCGTATATGGTTGCACGTAGGATTTGGACGGAATTTACAGGAAACTGTCGGCAAAAATACTAATAGGTGAAAGAGAGTATAGAAACATTAAGAATTTTGGTAGTAAATAGATTTCGTATTTAGTTAGCGTGCCCTAACCCAACCCTAACCCTAACCCTAACCCTAACCCTACCGCGCCCGCCTGAATACAATGCCAATACATACAATGCTTGAGTACACACAGTACAGGCGGGCGCGGTAGGGGGGTTCGGAGTCGGGCAGATTCACAGAGAGTATAGCTAAGACATGTGTCTATAGGTATCTAGAATTTTAGAAATGTAACTCAAATCCTTCGCGAGATATTAGAGTTAGCACACTATCCTACGGGCCATAGCCGCACGTATATGTTAGCCTATGAGCGATACCGTGCGTATATTTTTGGTAATTAATTAAACTATTTGTGCTTTAATAAACTCAAAATTCACTGAGACCACAACTAAGACATGTGTTTATATGTATCTAGAATTTTAGAAAATGTAACTCAAATCGTTCGCGAGTGATTAGAGTTAGTACACTATCCTACGGGCCATAGCCGCGCGTATATATTAGCCTATGAGCGATACCGTGCATATATTTTTGGTAATTAAGTAAACTATTCGTGATTCAATAAACTCGAAATTCACGGGGATTATAGCTAAGACATGTGTTTATATTTATCTAGATTTTTAGAAATGTAGCTCAATTCGTTTGCAAGATATGAGAGTTAATACACTTTCATGTTGCCTATAGCGTATGTGCAGGGGGGGGGGGAACAGCTGTATACAATGCGCCAGTACAGGCGGGCGCGGTTCGAACATTTAATCATCTGTAATTCGCTTCTATATCAGTCCTTGCCAAAAGACAAAATCCTTTACTGGACATTCGGTCCAGTAAAAAATAGATTTTTACCAGACCGAATGATATGTTACTGGACCAAAAAAATATTGAAACATTAAAACACATTCACATCTCTGTTGCTTTTCCTTTGTGGACATATCTAACATATATATGCTTTCCTGCTCATCACCAGCTATGTTTGTTGACCCGTCCATGATAAAGCTGAAAAATCTAGCATCGTTTATTTTTTCATCCATTTCGTGACGCGTACAATCAGCAATGCATTGCTTGCCAGCTTTGTCATTAATGTAGGTTTCACCTATTTCTAGGCCTTTGGCCTTGTCCAGTTGTGTGATCCAGGTATAATCAGTGATAGTAATATAAACTTCCCATGATATTGATAGTTCACACACACACGTCGCATGTCATCATTTTCTTATCTTTTATCATATAACAGCTAATCTCTTCCTATCGCTTTCCCACACCATAGATTAATTTGGTACACGCGTATATAAGATAGCCATAGGCAGGGATATTAGAGTTAGGCATAGTGTGTGGTACTCGCATACCCGTAGCCTCGGCGTAATTAGTTGATATAATGTTACCTGACACACGGTCTGGTAAAGCCAAATTTCTTGTCGGACCCGTGCAAAAATCACCCATTTTGTCCGACGGTCCGACGCTTTTGGCGAGGACTGCTATATCTACATTGGGCAAGGGGCACCCCCTCTAATATTTATAGTACTACCATAGGCTACAACTGTGCCAAGTTTGATGCTTTTGTCAGCTCTGTAATGATTATGAAGGTAAGGGACCTGACTAATAAGGTTAATACTAATAATATACAAAAGAGAGAAAAACATTAAGACATTGGTAGTAAATACATTTTGTGGTTATTTAACATAATTTTATTATTGAAACGTTCCAAGTGCTTGTGATTGTAGGTGCTTAGTATTACAAATAATAATTAATATTATTATTCATAATTTCATACCCAGCAGTCAGAAGTAGTGATGTCCCCATGATCAATTGTAATCGAAAGTCGGTCGTTTGCAGCAACCGACTAAGCGCCTGGTTATGAAAAAAAAGACAGTTGTACTCATGGTATGTATTTACTCAGAAGTTTATTGACTCAAATGTCAAATATTCAGGACTAACATCCTTTGAGCCAGGGCACTATTGCACGACATTCTCACGTTATATTTTTAAAGGCCGACGAAAACAGCAGCCCGCGACACCTGTACGTGTCACCCACTAACTTTTACCATTACACATTCTATGCAATCTATGAGCCGTTATGGTCAAAGGATGTTATAGGAATATTCAATGACTAAAAATTTTCAGTTGTCCGATCGGGCAATTAGCCAAGAGATCTAGAATAACTTGTCCGACATAGACTCACTTGTCCCGGGCAATTGGGCAACCATTAGTTTTAAAACGTTTAAAAAATATTTCTGATGGATATTAAGCAATGAAATTTTTTATGTACCATCATTTATCAAGGTCAAGTATAGTACTAGATCTTCCAGAAGCTTTACTGCAGGGTTCGAAACGGGAAAAAAAAAGAAGCTCGCGTGCATGAAAATAGCACTCTTAAATTTGGTTTGCATTGAACTCTATGCAAATTTACGGGGCTCTTTTTGGCATTTTGGGGGCAATCGCCCTGAGCCCCCGTGTATTTTTTTCACTGGTTCGGAATTAACGGTATAGTTTGCAACAACAACTCAACTAGTCCGGTAAACTGGCAACAGGATCAAGTTAGCCCCCACCACGCTCACAAAGAAAGTAGCATCACCTACAGGAACACCAGAGTTGAAGCTGATTGAAAACGCCGAGTTGGACAAAGCTCGGTGGTGAGGTAGACACCATGGTGTTATATATGTGTTGGTATACATGTATATATATATAATATACATGCTGTAGTGTGAGCGTGGCGGGCAGTCTTGATCCTGCTGCCAGTGGTCCGGTAGGCGGTGCAAATCCATTTTAGGTATATGTCATGAAGTGATGCCCAGATTTATGTTTTATTAGTAGCTGCCTTTTGTTTCAAATAAGGCTCCGAACGCATCGAGTTTGCTAGCAACAGAATGGAAAACCGTGTCGTACGTTTTAGTCTGTATCTCCGGATTGCGGGTGTATACGAGGAAACGATTTCGCACGATGCTAGACAAATGTACTGTGTACGATTTGAGCTCAAGTTGGATGAGTTACGCGTAGTAAATCGTAGGTATTATAAGGCTAGTAAATGATGAATTTCCCTTGTTTATTGAAGTCACACTCCTTCCCTATTATCTACTCCTGATAGTATACTAGTTACCGTATAAGTTATAAGCCATATCGGAAAGTTCCCGCCGCCTTATTGAGAACAGCTAAGAGGGGTGATAAGTTGCCTATATTTAACATAGTTACGATATCATAGTACTACTATTAGTCTAGGTTTTTGATCTATAATTCTCTTCACTAACATCGTACTTTAATTCATTGGTGCGTGTCTGTTTACAGAAACATTTACAAATATGACTGTTGTCATTTCATTTGAGATATTTTGCAATGTTTGTGTTAATGCAAAAACTAAAAAACGCACGAGTGTATACATTAAAATCATGTACTTTCCTAAGCGCGCATCAGCCATTTTATACCCCTTTTTTCTATGACTTAAATAACACAGCTGGACTTTCTGATATCACTTATTTTGTGGATATATTGATATAATCAAGAGCGTATAAAGAAGGAGAGCGTACAACGGTGAAATGCTGAAACATGCATGTTGCAGTATTAGTCGAATTAAGAAAATTTACCCGTTTTATTTTGACGATTTTTTGCGGTATTATTGGTCAGCTGTCCTACCTTGCTAATGTAAAACAAACCGCTTGTCCCTACGATGCCTCTACGCTAATCGTCAAAATAAAACGGGGAAAATTTATCAATTCGACTAATACTGCAACATGGTTTCAGCATTTCACTGTTGTACGCTCTCTTTCTTTATACGCTCTTGATATAATTATATATTGTCATTAATGTTGCTGATATTATGATTTTCAGCAAAATGGCAAGGTTTATATTCTATCCGACGTTACTATACAATGTTGTAATGGAGAAGATATCATTGAGGTGCTGGTTCAACAGAATAGACAAGCATGTAATATTAGGTGCACTGCCATTCAGGAGTATGAACAAGCAGGCAGGTACAATATAGTGTTTTGTTGCATATACTTACTGAATTTTTAGCTCATCTGACATAGTCAGATGCAGCTTGTAGAATCGCATGATCGTCCGTCCGTCCGTCCGTCCGTCCGGTCATCCGTCCGTCCGTCCGTCCGTCCGTCCGTCCGTCCGTCCGGTCGTCCGTCCGTCCGTCCGTCCGTCTGGTTAGGGTTAGGGTTAGGGTCACAATGCAGTGAATGCACCATAAAACAGGAGTTTGAGGCACGTGATTTGTATCAACCAATGGCAGCGCTCGCTAGAGCCCTATGTTCTTGATTGACCTAGGAAAAAAATACACGCCGCCGCCGGCGGCAGCGTATATGGTTGCACATAAGATTTGGACAAAATTTATAGGAAACTGTTGGCAATAATAGGTGAAAGAGAGTATAGAAACATTAAGAATTTGGTAGTAAATAGATTTCGTATTTAGTTAGCATTATATTTTATTGAAACGCTTCAAGTGCCTGTGCCTGTGGATGTGTGCCTGTGTGCCTGTGCCTCTTTCACCTATTATTGCCGACAGTTTCCTATAAATTTTGTCCAAATCCTACGTGCAACCATATACGCTGCCGCCGGCCATTGCTCTCGCGGCGTTCACTGTTGCACGCTTACACATATATAATATATATATACAGCGTGAGAAACTAGCGGTCGCCCAGTCGCCAGTGGCGATTAGAAAATCTACCGGGCGACTGCTTGCTTGTGTCAGCTGGTCCGGTGAGGCGACTAGATAATCGCCGCACAGCAGCGAAAAAATTACAGACTTGTAAACGGGAGCGCATAATACGACCCGTTCCTCAACGTAGACGGGGTATCCAAACCTTCTAGAGCTGCATGAACTCCCTCAACACATAATTCGCCACACGAACAAAATCCCGCGACGGTCTAAGAAATCGATGGCGGCCGGCATGTAGTTTTTACAATAAGTTTTTATATCGCAGGTGTTATCGTGGGGAGTGAGGGCACGACCAGTGACACTTGACACGCACGTAATCAAAGCTGTTAACTGAATTCGGCACTTTTCATGTGGACTATTGGAAAGTGGAATGTGGAAAGTGGACTATTTTTATTCAGTTAGATATCTAGAAGCAATGTAAACTCTATATATACTTAAAGATTCTAGGCACTTGTAGCTTTGCAGATATGCAGCAGCATTGATCTATGCATGGGTGTAAAGTGGACTGGGGAGGAGAAAAACGAAAGTAAAACCTTACCCAGAAGCTCCCGGCATTCCTAGATTCCAGTACACGTTTTTTTTAACATACTCAAAGTAACTAAAAACTATGTGTACTGTGTAGTGCATGTCTGTGTGAATTAAATTGAATAAGAATGTGATTGGTTTCTTAGTCGAGTGAAATGAGATTTAAAAAAATGTGATCGAATGTAATTTGTAGACGATTTCTTAACACTGATAGTCTGATACTGGTGCTGAGTGCTGAATGCTGATGAATGATATTAGAGTCAATGCATCAAAATTATGAAAATTTTAACAAAATCATGGTATGCAAAAGTAGCTCTGGCCAAGCCTAAAATAGCTCCCGTAAAAAAAATTACGAGAGCTCTTTTTTTCATACAATATCAAAAAAGAGCTCTCGTAAAAAAAAGTAATTTTTAGGCTGCCGCACACGAAATAAAAAATTTACCAAACTGATTATTTTGTTATTCTCTACTAACCTTCTACATTATTCTAATGAAATTAATGGTAAATTTAATCAAATATAGACTAAAAATAGTCAAATTCCAAAGCCTAAAGTCCATGCGAAGTACACAAAGAGGGGGGGAACGGGTATTTTCGGGACGCGGGATTGGCCATTTTAATTACCTGGGAACTGGGAAATGTCAGATAAATTTTTCGTGATTCGGGAATAGAAGTCCATCGGGACGTGGGAAACACCCTCTAAAATTGTCTGGGATCTGGGAAAATTGTGTCAATTGTTCGTCGGGATTTCAATTTCTGCGCTAAT